CATGCCGCCGGCCCCCTGTCTCGGATAATGGGAGATGCGAAAGCTAAATCATGAGGTCTGGGCGCCGCCGTAAAGCAGTGTCGGGACCTGATTGTTTTTCGACCCTGACCCTACGGATCTGCGTCACGGGTGCCACCGAATTTGAGAAATGTGGCAAATCATTTTTGTTTTTTGACCCTGACCCTACGGATCTGCGTGAGGGGTGCCGCCGAATTTCAAACATGTGGCAAACCACATGTGTTTTTGGACCCTGACCCTGCCGATCTGAGGAGGGGTGCCACCGAATTTCAAAAATGTGGCAAATCCTTTGTGTTGTTGGACCCTGACCCTGCCGATCTGCGTGAGGGGTGCCACTGAATTTCAGAAATCTGGCAAATCCCTTATGTTTTTGGACCCTGACCCCTGACCCCGCCGATCTGCGTGAGGGGTGCCACACAATTTCAGAAATGTGGCAAATCCCATGTGTTTTTGGACCCTGACCCTGCCGATCTGAGGAGGGGTGCCACCGAATTTCAGACATGTGGCAAATCCCTTTAGTTTTTTGGCCCTGACTCCGCCGATCTGTGTGAGGGGAGTCACCGAATGTTCAAAATGTGGCAAATCCTTTGTGTTTTTGGACCCTGACCCCGCCGATCAGCGTGAGGGGTGCCACACAATTTCAGAAATGTAGCAAATCCCATGTGTTTTTGGTCCCTGAACCCGCCGATCTGCGTGAGGGGTGCCGCAGAATTTCAGAAATGTGGCAAATCCCTTGTGTTTTTGGACCCTGACCCCGCCGATCTGCGTGAGGGGTGTTAATTTTTACCAACCCAGAAATTCTGAGAACCCTCCCAGGGCGTTGTACAAATGCCTGTCTTGGGCCTCCCCCCCTCGCGCGGTCCATCAGCAAGGAACAGCAAGAAGCAAGAAGTCAACAAGGAATAGTAAGCAACAGGTAGTGGAAGCTGGAAGCTGCAACTGGCACAGGAAACTGCGAACCTTAGGCCTACAGCCTGGTGGTCCTACAAGGGTCAGGAGGGGACAAAAACACACAGACACAATTATTCTTCGATTCCCAGAAAATATGGGGAAATATGGGAAGTGGGAGGGAAGATGAAAACCTAGAAAATATAGGAAGGTATGGGGATTTTTTTATGTGTGTGTATTATTTTCTGTGTCCCAGGGCCCCTTCAAAGGGGGCCGGCGGCTCACCCGGCGAGCTGTGCTGGTCGGGGATGTGCAGCAGCATGCAGTCACGTTCCGGGAGTCGCTTGGAGGCATCTTGGGGCCCTCGTGGGGCCCTGTGGGGACCCTCTTGTGTCCACTTTTCACCACCCACCAAAACACCCCAATCCAACCCGAAGGCTCAAATTTATCCTTGATTTCCAGTGGGGGGGGAGGGGAACACGGAAAAATCACACAGAACCCGTATCCCCCCAACCCGAAATTCGGGTCAAGTTCGGGTCTTCGGGTTGGGTTGGGGTGGTCTGGTAGGTAGTCAATTTTGGGGTCCCTCGGGGCGCGATTGGGGCCCTTTTGGGGCTCTCTTGCGGCCATCTTGGCTGCCTTGGGCGTGCTCCTGGGTCCATCACAGAAGCTGGGGTTGTCAATTCCGTTCTCTCCTCCAGAGACCGACTCGTTCTTGGGCGCTCTGGGGGCTCGCTGAGGCATCTTGGAGCCACCTTGAGACCTCAAGAGCCCATTCGAAGTGACAAGGCGAGAAGACTCACGACATCGTTTTTTTCCCTCGCGGCCTCTCGGTGGGGTCTTCGGGAGGCTTCGCTGCCACTTCCAAACCGTCTTTCGGCGATATTGGGCTTCTTGGAGGCATGTCGGAAGCTAGCCTGAACCATTATGGACTATCTTGAGTGATCTTGGATGCCATCTAGGGCAATCGGAGGCCCTGTGAGAACCGTCTTTGGCCATTTTGGACGCTCTAGCCCCTCGTTGCGCCCCGCCCCCCCCGGACCCAGGGAGATCGGCGGGAGGAAGGAGGTTGGAAGAACTAACTTGTGGAACCACCTACGCCCAAAGGGCTGGTGGGATTTGTCTCGTAGGCCGGCCTCAGGGCCTAAAAGATTTGGCCGAGATTGCCCCGAGAAGGCTCTTGCGGGCCCAGGTGGCCCAAAGAGGGCAGACTGGGCCAAAGATCGCTCCACTCGGCACTCCAGGGAGGGGGGGGGTAGGCGGGCTGGGGGACATCCCCGTGCCAGGACTCCCGCCCACCACTTTCCCCCATTCACCCCAGCCCCTCCCTCCGGCGGGGAAGGGGTCGCAAGGCAAGAAGTCCCTGGGACTCGACTGCGACCTGGGTCGATCTGCCCCATGCCGGCGAGCTCCGCTCGGAGAGCCCCCGGGTGGCCGCAGGTGCAGAGGCGGAGAGCTTCGAGCGGAGACGCGTCTCCCGGGACCACGCGGGCGACCACCCAGCGGGGAGCTGTCCCTCACGCGTGCAGCCTGGTCAGGGGCGCTTCCCAGAAGTGGCGAGGGCCAGGGAGCACCCTCGGCCGGAAGGCAGGCGGGACGGAGCGGAGGGACAAGGCAGCACCATCGGCTGTAGGAGCCAGGACAGCGGGACGGAGCGGAGGAGA